TGCAATTTCAGTCACCTGATATTTGACAAAGGTGCCAAGAACACACAATGGAGGAAAAACAGTATCTTCAATAAATAGTGATGGCAAAACTGGATCTCCACCTGTAGAACAATGAAATTAGACCCTTCGCCTTAGATCTTTCACCTTGCACAAAAGTCAGCTACAAATGGATCAAAGACCTCAATGTGAAACCTGAAACTCTGAAACTGCTAGAAGAAAACATTGGCAGTAACCCACAAGATATAGGTGTAGCAAAGGACTTTCTAAATTGGGATATCAGTTACTCAGGAATTAAGGTCAACAATCAACAAGTGGGACCTCATTAAACTAAAAAGTTTCTGTACAGCAAAAGAAAACAACACATAAAGTGAAGAAAAAACCTACGGAGTGGGAGAAAATCTTCACCAGCAACACATATGACAAAGGTTTTACGTATAGAATATATAAAGAATGCAAAAAACAATCAACAAAACAAATGACCCAATCAATTAAAGGGCTAAAGAGCTGAACAGAGAGTTCTCAAAAGAAATAAAGATAGCTAAGAAACATCTTAAAAAGTGTTCCACATCATTAGTAATTAGGGAAATGAAATTAAAATCACTTTAATATTTCATCTTACCCCAGTCAGACTGGATAAGATCAAGAGAACAATGATACCAAATGCAGGCGAGGATGTGGAGAAAGGGGAACACTTATTCACTGCTGGTGGGATGGCAAACTTGTACAACCCCTATAGAAAACAGTGTGGCATACTCTTAAAAAAACTAAAAATGAACCTACCATATGACCTGGTTATATCACTCCTTGGCATATACCCAAAGGACTCATCCTATTGCAGAGATATTTGTACAACCATGTTTGTTGCTGCTCTTTTCACAATAGCCAAGAGATGGAAGCAACCTAAGTGTCCCTCAATTGATGAGTGGATAATGAAAATGTGGTACATTTACACAGTGGAGTTCTACACTCAGTGGTAAAGAAAGATGAGATAATGAAGTTTGCAGGTAAATGGATGGATCTAGAAACTATTATACTAAGAGAAGTAACACAGACTCAGAAAAACGAAAGACGCATGTTCTCCCTCATTTGTAGATCCGAGCACCAAATTCTTGTATGTGAGTATATATCTTGATGTAACTGCAGGAAACAGGAAAATGGGAAGTAATCAGGGAGGTAACGGGAAAGAAGGAACCCAAGAGAAGAACAGTAGGAGACAGGTGTTACTAAGGGAGAAATGTGTAAAACAGAGGTAGTTAAAGGAGAAGGGGAGATGGAGGATTATACAAGGAACTATGGGGGAAAAGGGGAAGGAACTCAAGAGAGATGGGACCATAGCAGACAGGAATTATCAAGGGAGAAATGGGAAAAATAGGGACGCTTTAAATGGGGAGGGCATGGAGGGAGGGTTAGACAGGGGGAGAGAGAGAGAGAGAGAGAGAGAGAGAGAGAGAGAGAGAGAGAGAGAGAGAAATAATGCCTAGCTAGCATAAAAAAATTGAGGAGGGGGGGCTGGAGAGATGGCTCAGCAGTTAAGAGCACTGGCTGCTCTTCAAGAGGAGCTGGGTTAAATAACTCCAGTTCCAGGGGATCCGATGCCCTCTTCTGAATTCCACAAGCATTATACAGATGCAGGCAAAACACTTGTATACATAAAATAAAAACAATAAATAAAATATTTTTAAAAACCAGAGGGACTCATATTAGTTCAAAACCTTACTAAAAAATTATACATACAGCATCTCTTCATGAGTCCATGTGTATAGCTGAAGGTTACATAACAAGAAACAGTGCCAGACAGGAGAAACCTTCCTTTGAGTTGTTGGCCAGAATAGTTCGAGAGACTCCCAAAATTACATACGCTATTGCCATGACCCTTGATTGCCTCCTAGAACTTATAGGTAAGACCCTATTGCTGAAGACAGCGTACTTTGCACACAGGATTTGGAGCAATGGGGCTGGACCTTACCTGGAAGCCACCTCCCTTCAAGGCTAGCTCTGATAGCTTTGGAGAGCACTATGCAAGCTGGTAAGGGAGAATGTCAATTGATGGTCCAACCCTAGCTTCAAGGCCTAATAACCACATCAATGACCAGCACAGCAAATGACACTGGTGCAGTAGTGGCACTTTTAACTTGGGGTAATCAATAGCTACCTAATTGGACTTATAGACAACTCAATGGGAAGAAACTTGTGTGGTACTGCAAATACACATAGCTGGAGAGGTCATAGATCTTAGAGAAAACCCAAAAGCAGTCACATCTCTAGACAAATGTAATTTCTTACTAAGTTCAAAATATGGATCCTTAAATTTACAGACGAGTATCCCAGTCACTACCCATCAAAGAAGGCTATTTTTCATCAGACAGAGATTATTAGAGTTCTACAACTGGTTATACAGAGATTGTCTGTGAATTGCCCAAGCCTAAGCGGCACATCTAGAATGCAACCTCCACACCTAAGGCTCACAGAACATAGAACAAGGGATAAAGAGAACGCTAATGCATCTTTCAATTCTCATCAAAGAAGCTCCCTCATGCAACAGAGAGCCAGGAACACAACAGGTCACAAATGGCCAAAACATAGAGAATAAGTGTCTACAGAGTGTGGGTCCTTGGACAGGACTCCTATATTAAAATCTACCCACCCAGGGCTCAGGGATCACTGCAGAAGAGGGGGCAGAAAGATCATAAGAGCCAGGGAGGTGGTGCATGACTATATGGAAGTGGAGTCCTATAGGCTCCTGGGACTCTTCTCATACAAACCTATAGCAATGGTGTCAGCATGCACAAGAGCCATGCAAACTCAAGCAGACAAAAACCCAGCACAGAACTGTGGAAATGGACAGCAGGCCCCAATCTCAGTCGAAGAATTACTGGCAGCTGATTACTCCTGGGTGAAGAAGAGCTCATCTTCTTGGGAGGGACTCTAGATAAGCTGACTAGACCAATCTGGTGGATAAACCTGAATTGAGGGATATCTGGGGACACTAACTGGACATGATAGGCCTTAACACAAATGACAGAATGTATGAAATCCAGTGGGGTGCCATGGGCAGGTGCCAATGAGGAAGGGGGTATAAAGTTGATTAAGATTAAGATGTTCTGTAAGAAATACATAAAAATTCAATAAAAAGTCTAAACAAAAAAAGTCAAGTAGGGTGACAAATGATTATAGTCCCAGCTTTGGGGAAATGAAGACAGGCAAATCCCTGGGGCTTTCCAGTCTCTTCTACTTGGGGAGACCAAAGCCAATGAGAGACTCTTATTTTTTATCAGCAGATGGTCCCTCAGGAATAACACTCAAGGTAGCCCAATGGCTTCCACATATATGCCCACACATGTGCAAATGGCCCCCAAACACAAATTTCTTAAAGACTATGTTTTGGAATCTAAACAAAATGCCACCAACATCCAATGATTATCTGAGAAAATAAAAGTGGTAGATTTTTATCTATGAAAATTCTTCATGATGCTTTTCCTATGACACTTTTTAGGTTTTTATTGAATACAGTTATGTTCTAACTCCAGAACAACCAAAGTGAGGCAACAATGCATGAAATCTACATGAACCTACGCATACCTCCAATGTCTTCTTATTTACAAAGAGAATTAGCCCTTTATTTTGTATTACTGCAGTCCAGTTTAGGGACAGAACATGTGTTTAAATGTGTGTGGGATATTAGTATTATAAAGATAAACATTTACTAAAGTCTTTTCTAGATGCTGGAGCTATAGAAGGTAGTAAACGGGTCAGGTGTGGTGGTGCAGGCCTTTGATCTCAGTACTTAGGAGGCACAGGCAGGCGGATCTCTGTGTGATCAAAGCCAACCCTGGTCTACATAGTGAGTTCCAGGTCATCTGGAAAGACCAAGGAAAAAAAAAGAAGATAGTAAACGGATAAAAACCTCCATTTTCATATTATGCTACTGAGTTGTCTTTTATCGAATGCCAAGAATTCACTTATAAAAGTCCTATTTAGCCGGGTATGGTGGTGCATGCCTTTGATCTCAGCACTCGGGAGATAGAGGCAGGTGGATCTCTATAAGTTCAAGGTGAGCTTGGTCTACATAGTGAGTTCCAGATCATCTGGGGCTACAGAGATACCCTGTCTCAAAAAGACCAAAAAAAAAAAAGTCCCATTTAATGAAGCTGGAGAGATGGCTCAGTGGTTAAGAGCACTGGCTACCCTTGCAGAGGACCCACTTCAGTTTCCAGCACTCACATGGCAACTAACATCCAGCTCCAGGAGATATGATGCCCTCTTTTGGCCTCCAGGCATAGATGCAATAACATATATGCAGTCGAAACACTCATACATATGAAATAAAAATAAATAAAATACTATTTAATATCCACGAAGGTATTGATAAAAAACTGTAAGAGATGCCGGGCATGGTGACACATGCCTTTAATCCCAGCATTCGGGAGGCAGAGGCAGGCGGATCTCTGTGAGTTCAAGGCCAGCTTGGTCTACATAGTGAGTTTCAGGACAGCTGGGGCTACAGGGAGACCCTGTCTCAAAAAGACCAAAAAAAACAAAAAACAAAAAACAAAAAAAAAACAACCAAACAAACAAAAAAACATTGTAAGAGATGTTCTACTATCATGGTTATTTTTGGACTCTGCAATTAAACTCTCAAGTTTTAGTCCTGGCCTTACTATTTACCAAGTGTCTGCCAACTTTCTGTGACTATAAGACAATGACAATATTTAAATCAAAGAGTTAGGGGGACCAAATAAAATAATCCATGTATCTGAGACATAGTAAGCACCAATAAATATTAAATTATATTAATTCAATATAATTATTAATATTATTTAATGTAGAAGCCCCAAATTTATTTCTTCATTTCTGGATGACATTACAAAGCTTACTGCAAAGGGGCCCTGGATTATCCCAAATGGGTCAGCATATACACTGCCTGAAAATAGTACAATACCACACAAAACCACATAGCAAGTGTACTCTTAACTTTTCAGAGCAGAAGGAGGTTCACATACCTCCACAGAAGATCTTTCTCCTGACAGTTAGTAACACATGGCCATTTCGAGCAGCAGTGGTCATTAGGTCCAAGACTTGCTTGTGTGATTTCCCTTTAACAGGAATCCCATCAATGCACATTAGTTCATCAGCAGCACGAAGTCGACCATCCTTTTCAGCTGCTCCCAGGGGAATAATGGCTCCAATATATATCTGGTAAGATAACAAGGTATAGGTTACTCTATACAGTCTACTAAGATAAGCTGAGGAGATAAGGACTTCCTGACTCAGCACTATGCAAACCCACAAGATTTCTGTAGTTCACTTATGAAAAGTCACACTTCAGAAAGGTGGTATCTTAGAAAGTACTCATTCTCCAAAATGGCACTTCAAATACCCACACTGTATTATATAATTCTAGATCCTCAGGGTTGAGCATAAGGAAGAAAATACAAAGTTGTTCAAGAATTTAAAAAGTACCACCAAGACCTCTACTACTTCAATGTAACAAAACAAGCAGAAATGCTATTAAAAAAAAAAAGGAAATAAAAAGAAAAAGAAAAAAGAAAAAAATGCCACGAGGAAAGATGTTCTGTACATTGTTCACAGAGATCAGAATCATTCTTGTGATTTCACCATTGAATAGGGCCAACAATACAAGTTCAGGATATGTTACAAAAAAATAATCCTTGTTCCTAAATCTCAGAAGGAACAAGGTGGTTGAGGTTCATTTGCATCTAATAGACCTGGTTCATTCTGTTCATAAACAATTAGAATCCTGTAATTTTAGGCTAGTTTCAGAACTATTAAACTCTGACATTTAGGAGACTAGAAAGGTTGCTCCCAAGTTGTTGAAGATAAATTCTTAAAAGGCCTAAGTGAACACTGTGAATATCAACAAAATAGGAAGAAATAAAAAACAGACACCATCAAAAACAAAGAATCTGGGGGCTGGAGAGATGGCTCAGTGTTTAAGAGCACTGACTGCTTTTACAGAGGACCCGGGTTCGATTCCCAGCACCCACATGGCGGCTACAAACCGTCCTTAACTCCAGTTCCAGGGGAATCCGAAACCCTCTTCTGGCCTCCACAGCACTGCACAACACAGGTGCACTCACATACATGCAGGCACTCGTACGCATTTAAAAAAAAAAAAAAAACCCAAAGAATCTGATGTTTGCTCTGTATACAACAATGGACCTTAAGCTTTCTACATCCAAAGATCACTGTAATTGTAAGCTGTATGATTAATTAGAATACATTTATATGCTATAAGTTAGATGTTCCATTCAGAAATGTTTTTCGTTTTTAAAGACTGTTATTATTTACCTCAAGTATAACAATGTAGGTTTTTTTTTTATATTATATAAAAGAAAATGCAATATGTTCTTAAATTCTAGAGCATATTACAGCTTTGTCATTTGATTCCGAGGGCAACATATAAAATCAAAACCCAATATATTTGATATTTTTTTCAAAACTAATTTTATATGAGAATCATGCATAAGTAAAATTCTATATTTTAAATGTTTCATAAATATAAACTTTATGTCTTCTGAAGAAATAAATTATTTTATATTTATTGAATGCCATAGCTAACAGACAAAACAAGAGGCAAAGAGCTGAGCATGAAAATGCCAACTCATTCATCAGACCAGGGAGAACTTAAGTATACACAAACTCATACCAACTATCTATGGAACATTTGGAAAAAACAGCTATTGCAGTAAAGTAGACAATGGATTATAAAAGAAAAAAAAAAGCAGAAGTTAACAGTTACAATAAGTCTTTTTTCTGATACCAGGAATCAAACTCAGGGCCTCATGCCTGTTAGGCACATACTCTACCACTTTGCTACAAACTTTAGCTCTAAATAAGCTTTGTTTATTTACATAGAATAGCAAAGAAATTAATTAATGTACAGTTTACAGCTAACATAACGCAGTTTTTTAATTTTTAAAAAATTTCTCTATTTTTCATTTTATGTGTATGAGTGTTATGTGTACATGTATTTAAGTGCACTATTACATGCAATGTTGTGGAGGTCAGAAGAAGGGTCTCAGATCCCCTGGAACTGGAGTTAAGGATAGTTGTTAGCTGCCATGTAGGTGCTGCGAACCAAACCCGGGTCTTCTGCAAGAACAGCCAGTGTTCTTAACTGCTGAGCCATCTCTCCAGTCTCCATATTCAGTTCTTCAGTATAGTTTTTTTTTAAAATTATTTAATAACCACATGATTAGAAGCATTTCATTACAGCATTAACATATTCAATAACAATTTCCAGAGCAAAGATGCTT